CAGCAGTTATAACTGGGAATGGTGAAGTAACTCGTTCAAGACCACAGATTTGTAAGAGAGAAGACAGAGAAACAAGGCCTGACTATACCCATGAGTGGATAGCTAGTCTGGGGGCTGGGAGAAGTGATTTAATTACCCAGATTTCCATTTTTGGACAGAATAACATGACACTCCAGACCTCTGATCTCCAACTCCAGGGAGACTAATTTTTTTGGTTTGTCTTTCACATTTTTCCACTGATATTAGAGCTCCCAGTTTAAAGATGAGAATTTTAAGATGAGACTTTTAGAAATAGCCCTGAAGAAGAGATGGAAAAGCTTGTTCCTTGAGTTACATTTGAAATATAAAAATTTTTAAAGATGTCTCTCAAATCCCATGGTTATGATTACAGTGATAGCAAAGATAAAATAGCTTTATATTAAGTTATTCTTTTCCATTAGCATTAGCGTGCTATTTTCCCTCCATGGGGACTTAGGTTCCAGCAACAGAGAAGACTGTTCCTCGAATTCATTCTTTTACAGGAGTCCAGTCAACATCCATGTATATGAGTGATGTGTTTTATTTATGTTGAGGGGAAGCAAATACAAAAACACCTGCCAGAAAGTAAATATAGAGGCAATTCCATTGTTAGTGTTGCAGCGTGGGACAATTATACATATTTTTATACATACAATTATATATATTTGTAGAATAAAGAAGACAATCTTTATACCTAAATAACACCTCCTCGGGTTTGACATGTTTTCATAACGCAGTGCTGTAATGTCATTATCTAAATTGGTTTTTCACAAGTCGTATGATTTCTGTAAAATCTCTTACTATCCTTTGAGATGAAGCCTGTGGCTGCCAGTTATGATAGAAAAAGTTCGACTCCTGGGCGTTGTCCTTGGCCCGCTGCAAGCAGGTACAGTGAAGCAGTAGGCATACCATGCAGCCCCTCTTTTCTGGGCCCTGGGCTTGCCTCAGGGATGGACAAGCCAGAGTCCTGCTTCCATGGCAGCTCCTGATCTGGTGGACAGAGGAGACATTCAGTGACTGTGGTCACAACTCTACAGGCAGCTGTGTCTCATGGGGTGTGTGTAGCTCATGTCTGAAAATAGCCACTCCACCTGTCTCTCATTCCACTCTGGGGCATTTGTCACTTTTATTGATGAAAAGACCTCAGTAACATTCATGACATGTGCGGTTTGTTTTATTAATTCCCAAACCATCCATACCTTCAAAATCTCAAAAGGCAGAGAGAAAATCATCTGAAATTTTGGGGCATCATGAAATCTCTCATTGGTTAAGAGTTTTCTCTGAATGAGAAAGAACATTCTAATATCTATATCTAATAGAATGACTAACCTGAAAGCTAGGTTTTATGCCAGTCGTTCATTCATTTATTGTCAGCAAATATTTATCACATGCCTACTGTGCACTAAGCAGTACAAGTTTGTGAGAAAACAAAATAAACTCCTTGTGGAGCTTCAAATCTCAGTTATTTCCAAGGGAGTTACAAAATAAGCAAATATATATATATATATATTTATTCATATATATATATGTGTTATGTCATATGGTGGTAAGTGCCAATAGAGAAAATTACAACAGGATAAGAAGTAGAGATTAGCAGAGTATATAGATGGGGCGGTATGCTCATAAGGATGTTCTAGTAGCTATCTCTGATGAGGTGACATTAATGCTTTTGTTCAGCAATATCTCTCCCAGGCTCTTCTCTGCCCTTTGCTGAAAAGTTACCCTAAATTCCTTCATGCTTTGTCCATATAGCACTTGGACTTCCTTTTCTGCCTTGACTCATTCTCATTTCATCACTCATTGACGTATCATCAGAGCTTTCGCCACAAATAGTATTTTCACCTGACGTCCTTCTCCTGATAATTTAGTCTCATGTTCTGGCTTTAGGTGATTTGGTGTCTCTAAGCCAGCTCTGTGAGTTTCAGGTTAGTTCATTGGGTTTATCCTTGCCAATGTGTAGGCATCTCCAACTTTAGAACTGAGTTGTATTTCCAATGTTTGCCCTCAAGTTTTTTTGAAACAATTCTAAATTGAAAAGGAGGAGAAAAATATGGACCTGAAGCTTGTCTTTCTTATGCTTAACAATCGCTAAGTGTGGTTGCAGCCTTTTGTGTATGAAATAACTGCACACTTTTCGCTGAAAAGACCCAATTGTCCTCAGACCCCTGAAGTCCAGGCTCTCATTCTAGTGCAGCCCTGCAACAGACCCATGAAAAGAGAACGCTCTGGAAGACGTAGTGTTGACTTCTTGTAGAGTGTTACAGTGTGTTAGGCAGCAATGGCCTAGATGATATGGGTTTGATATTTTCATGTTTACTTCTTGACCTTGAGGGGAGAACAAGAAATACTCTTTATGGTATACCATAATATTTTGACTTTTAAATCAGAAGCAGCCTGGAATGTTAAAAAGAGATGAAAGATTTGTATCCTGGAAAAGAAAAACCAATTTAGAGTTTTATTCTTTAGCTTATGAGTCAAAGAGTATAGAAAGGAGATATTCATAGATAGTCAACAGCCAGTATGATAGGTTTAAAAAGCAATTTTAGAAAATGTAACAGAATAAGTACCTTTCTGTTTTGTGTATTGGAATGAAATTGTCCCATGCTAGTATAGAAATAACAAAGGAAACAAATGCTTTTAAACATTGCTGTGATGGGGGAGAAATACAGCATTTCTATTTATAACTTGTACAGAGTCCCACATAAAAATAGCTCCAACTAACAGATTTGCTCATATCTGGAATACAAAGTTGTTGCTGCCAGTGACTTGAGGAATTCTAATAAGAACGACAGCAGCATTGGTAAATATTGAAAGTTTATCATCTTTTCTTCTATCCCAGTTTTCATAGGGGAAGAAAATTAGTTCGCTGAAAAGTCCTGGCTTCCGTATTAGACATTTTGTTATTTTCCAGGCTACTGGTCTCTTTGTTTTTAATGAAAAGGTTACATTTGCACCCCTGGACATCACCCCACAAGAAGGCTCTATTATTATATCTCCGTCAGTGATAATTTTATCTCTGCATGTGAAATATTTGTCAGGCTCATGGAGTCAACATTTCATTCTTCTAATTTTGTATGATTTGTGCGACAGCAAAAATATTAAGGACTTCTGAAGTTAACGAAAACCATTCTTTCTTATTTTCAGCGAAGCTTCCTGGGCTATGCCAGTTTTAAAGTGGGGGAGCTACTGAAGTCGAAGGAGCAGCTGCTAGTCCTGAGCCTGAGGTGGGTCTTTGTCTGCAGAAATGCTTTAAAGTGAATAGCCGATGATACTCACTGAAGGATGGTGGGGCTTGAAAGTCCCAGTTCTTGCAGATGTTTAGATGTCAGCTGTCAAATGGCTCACGTTCTCCATAGCAGCAAGTTATAGCGAAACAGCAATTATTCAAGTTCACATTGAAGTTCATGTTTCACATTGTCAGAGGTTATCATTCCTTATGGGAAAAATAATAACATGATCGTTAAACTGATGAAATTCTTTGATAGTAAGAATAGAAATGATGAGCACGTTATTAAATAATTTTTCTGTTACTTATTAAAATAACTTTTTAAGTCAAGTAAGCTTCTAGGTTTGAACTATGTTTGTTAGTGGCAATGTTGCAAATTTATGATAATAGAGGGTAAGTTGATTATTCTCTTTTTTTAAGTTTATTTTGTTGCTATCATATGAAATATAAAACATAAGTTAAAACAGACTCATATTGAAGCAGGCAGTAGATCAGAGGTAATTTTGAGTATGAGTACAATTTGTTTTGATATAGACCAGACAACAATCTTTAGGAAGTTACATAGTATTTTAAGGCTAAGAAGAGTGTTAAATAGAATAAACTTTTTTTAAAAAACTTCATTGTACATTCTAAACAATAGTATGCTGTTTTCTAACTGTATAATAACTCCTGTAATTATGTACACATAATATATTCCTTGCAATATTTGTATAGTATAAACAAATGTAAAGATTGTATAGGACACTACTTGGAAATCTCAAGAAGTTCTTCTTTTGATGAAACATAAAGACCACTCCCAGGGAAGAGACAGTGTCTTAAGTGCTTGCCCTCTGCCTTGCCCCGGCAAGGACCCACTTGTAACCAATTTATTTCAGTAAAGATGCTGTGGCTTATGCTGGAATCTATACTATGGGCTGTCTCCTTTTCTGATTTTTCCTGATCCTTACAGTTTTGCATTTTGACTTAGGGGTGTATAAGGTAATTTAAAGTAGCTCATATTCATACAGAAAAATAAGTGTTGATGGGTTCTAATGAGGCCATTATCTTCACTCTCTGTTGTGTCTCTTAAATATCTGTTATTTTGTTGTTGTTGTTGTTAAATTTTATTTGGGGAGACATTTTAAAATCTTCACAGTTTTGTGGTGGTGTTCCCAATAAAATTTTGCTGTGGTGATATTCAGCTTAAAGTTTGTGTGGATCAGCTGAAAAGTCTAGCTAGCAATGTCACGGATACTCTAGAAAATATGTGTTAGTGCTCTAGCGCAGTGGTGAGACCTGACCAGAGTACCCCTGGATTCATGATATGTGATGTCAAGCATTAAGTTAATTTAGGACCACTAGCAGGCCACCTGTTTTCTAGATAAGATGCATAGCACTTCATTCCTCCTCTTGCTGACTCGCATTGATTCTATCATAACTGCCATTAACATCAGCACAACACTGCACCTTTAGACACTACCTTTGAAACAGAAATCAAGGGACCGTGAATTCTTAGTGGAATGAAGATTAGTAAACACATAGAATATCTCAGTGATATTATTAGATATTAGATATTAGATATCATAGATATCTAAGTGATTAGTAAACACTCAGAATATCAGGAACAAAAGGGTCAAGTTTAGAGTACTACCACTATAAGCAAAAAAGGAATATAATCAATACATATTTCCACTTTTGATCTTAATACCTCTGCCTAATACTCATTTGATTTTGATTGTATAAAAGGAAAACAAGTTTAACAACAAAGAATTTAGTTTTCTAGAGAAAATAATTTGTTGTTGTTGTTTTTAAAGATTTTATTTATTTATTTGACAGAGAGAGACACAGTGAGAGAGGGAACACAAGCAGGGGGAGCGGCAGGCAGAGGGAGAGGGAGAAGCGGGCTTCCCGCTGAGCAGGGAGCCCGGTGTGGGGCTTGATCCCAGGACCCCGGGATCATGACCTGAGCCGAAGGCAGACGCTTAACCGACTGAGCCACCCAGGCGCCCCTAGAGAAAATAATTTTTTAAAAACTAATTTTGAAATGGCTAGGTTATTATTCTTTCCCTCCCTTTTCATGCTTTGCCAAATGTGTGAATTTCTCTCCCCGTGAACTAGACACATTATAGACTTATGATAGCCTTTTGATTTCTGACACTTCATGTTTTTTACTTCAGATGTAATTCATCTTCTTTCCCCTGGCTGTGAGTCTCTGAGGTACTGTGCTGGAAGAACATTAGGTTGGGGATAAGAGCATTTTTTTTTTTTTGGTTGTTTTGTTTTGTTTTAATATCACTTTGCACTGACAATATTTGCATTTTGTTCCTTTTAGATTCCAGTCATTATTTTTTAAAAGGTTTATTTATTTATTTCAGAGACAGAGAGAGAGAGAGCATAGGGGTGGACAGAGGGAGAGGGAGAGAGGGAATCTCAAGTAGACTCCCCACTGAGCACAGAACCCCACGCAGCTCAGTCTCATGATCCTGAGATCATGACCTGAGCCAAAATCAAGAGTCAGATGCTTAACTGACTGAGTCACCCAGGCGCCCCATCCAGTCATTTTTAAAGCAATGGAATTCTCAGATTTCTGTGAAACAAATTCACAGAAATAGGGTACATTTCTACAAACATTCTCTGATGGGAAGCTTCCCAAAAATCTATGTAGTTTTGTATTCACCGTCCCTTTGAGTTGTTTCTTATCAGATAATTCCAATTCCAAAACTCTCAAACTAACTCCACAGAGCACCATAGTTTAATGTGGCTACTGTGTCATTTGTGTTTGAACTGGAAATTTTTAACAGAATTTGGAATTGAATTCTTTTTTCCCACAGAAAATTTAAAGGGGCAAGAAGTGTGCATCTTATTTATAGATTTAGACTAAAATTTCATGAAATATAAGATAGTCCATTTTTTAAGTTATTGAATAAATCTTATTTGCATGTTTTAGAGAAAAATACCCCCAAAACACAAAGTGGTGCCTACTCATATAACTCGTCTTGCTTTAAATATGTAGTTACTAAATTACTGTCTGAGTGTTCTAGCATCCCGACTGGACTTGATTATCTTTATTTAGTACTAACCCTCTTACTTTTGTATTATATTTACTTTGTTTTGCTAGTCTACATTTGGTTGTTCCTGTCTCCTCTGGCTTCTTTTAGATCTGCATTGTATTTTCTGTTCTTGTTCTCTAATTCATTGCCACATCTTCCTGGCTTTCATACTACAGTGTAAACAAGCTAAGGTCCTTGTATAGAGGATTACAAATGTAGGCGTGAAAGACAGTGGATAATCTTATACTAACAGTAATAATAATAAGAAGAAGAAGAAAGAGAAGAAGAAGAAGATTCTACGTGCTTTATGCTTGGATAAGTATATTAGAGATATTGCCTCATCAACCCTTATCAAATGAGTCTATGGTGCTATTCTTTTTGCCACTTTATAAATTAAGAAAGTGAGATACAAAAAGCAGTTAAGTGATTTGCACAAAGTTACAGTGCTCATAAATGGGAAAGCCAAGGTACAGAGCCACACATTTCTGACTGCAGAGCCTGTGCTCTTAGTGACCCGCTTCTTGTCTCCTTTGACAAAGGAGAAAACTGAGAACTTGTTAAAATGTATCACACATCATGTGACTTAGGTTATGGAGGAACAAAGCAAGGACTCAGGTGCAGAACCACCTGTTCACGGTTTCTCCCACTTCGGTTTCACTGCAGTGCCTTGTCTCACAGTGAGTGAAGACAGAACGAGTGTCAACATGCCATGAAGAACTCAGACAGATTAGCCATGATGGCAGAAAGTGGGAGCCAGCCTGCCTGGTTAAGGGAGAGACTGAGGGAAACCTGTGGAATCTATTCTCACCCCAGAAGCTTGGCATCCTCAGGCCCCAAACCTGGGTTGCTGTTCAAGCACCTGACAGTCATTTGCCCTGCTAACCTTATCTGAATGTCTTAGGACCATGCAAGCAGAAATTTGGAACACCATAACCCTGTTTCATGATTTAATAAAAGAATGGAGAGATTAGCTCTGTCTCTCGGAATGGTGCTAGCAGTTGGGAAAAATGACGTTGCTCTTAAAGTATTCCAACAACCACAAAGGCAGAAATAAAGGGGGAAGGGTAAAACTTCTTTTTTAAGAAATCCTTCTCAGAATTGAGACAGATGGATGTGTTTTGACCTTGTCTCTGTTTCATATGAGTTTCATTGCATATCTCCTCAAAGTTTAGGCTACATTCAGTGCTCATTCATTCAGCAAGCACTTACGAAGAACTTTTCATATGTTAACTACAGTGATAGTTAATATTTTGCAGTTGATGTTACTAATAACACTATTAATGAAAAAAGTCTCATTATTTATTGAGCATCTGCTAGCATGCAAAGGAAGTATTAAGTGCTCTTCATGCATGATCTTCAATCTATGCAGCATTATCATTTCTGTGTTACAGCAACTTGGCTATGATCCTGCAGCCGCTAATTGTACAAGTAAGATTAGAATCCAATTTGGTCTGACTCCAGAGCTTGTTCTGTTTTATTTCCCTGCCTCATAGGAAGCTAATGATCTAATAGAATCTTTGTTTTCTTCTCTATTTTATATTCTGTCCTTTGGAGAGTTTCAGGGGCCTCACTTCTTTTTTCTTAACGCTTTATCTTAAAATTCAATTTCATATGCCCATTACATAGTAGAGGTTCAATAATTACTTGTTGGAATTTTGATTCATGATGATGACTTTCTTATATTTGTATGGATGCTTAAATGTAAACCAAGTACCAGTGCTTTCTGAATGGCATCCGCCTAAATTAGTGCATGTAATGCAGCCAAAGCATTAGAGTCTATCTGAGACAAGTAACTTTTAGAGTAACAGTGAGGGATAGATTGTAATATGCTTGAAAAGTTGAAAACCTTATTTAGAATTTACTATTTCAGGGTAGGCCACTTTACCTTGTCACAGAAACTTTGAATAGAGCACTTAACGAGTGTTCTATTATTTCTTCTGTAATCTTTTGCATGTAATCCCTCCCAAGT